TGCCTCGCTCAGCCAGTGAGCGGGAACCGGTCTGTATGTGGGATCCGAACCCTCGGCGGGAGCGCAGCCGCGCTTCCCAAGCGGCACACTAGCACAGTGCGCCACCGGGCCAGCCCCAATGTCATATAAAATTTTGATGAAAAATTTTAAATAACTTTAAAATATGCAGGAAAAAATGGGTATCAGGGATCTTTTGGGGGTGATGGAAATGTTTTTAAAGTGGATCCTGGTGATGGTTGCACAATTCTGTAAATTTACTAAAAACCATTGAATTTTACACTTAAAACCGATGAACAATAAAGTTGTCACAAAACATACATGGAATGTACATAGTTTTTTGAGAACAAGTACAAAAAAGTAGAAAGCCTTGAATTATTTGCTAAAATGCTGGGGCATAGAATATTATGTGCACTCTATTCTATTGAAGCTGATATCATTAAGTTAACCCCATAGTTGTTTGTTCTGGTTTTGTGTCTTCCTTTTAAAATTTTTATTTCTTCTAGGACAAGGACAAATTAAGATCAGCAGATGAGAAAAGCCACTGAAATTATTAGTTTTGAATTGTGTTGTCTTCAAAATGCTACACAAGAGGTCCTCAACTGAGTGGAACATCTCTTTTAGTATGTGCCCAATTCAACCTGTCACCATCCCAGCAGACTTTGGCCCAATTTTAATTGGCCAGAAAATTGTGGAGAGAGGGCCCCTCCCTGCCTCTTTATCTAAGTAAATGTGAAACTGCACAGAATTAACCCTTTGAGTTCTTTTTTTTCTAGCTAATGGGTCAGAGGAAAATAAAGTTTGATTTTTGTCACTTAGTGTTCTTGGTGTCAAATCCAAGACAGGGAAAATAATACAACATTCAACCAAGGAGTGTCTGTACTGTGACAACCGGGCTGCTCATGTCTCGTGCTTGATCAGAGCATCCAGCCAGCTTCACGAACAGCCTTTGAATGAGGGCAGCAACTGGACTGCAGTGGTCGAGATCACAGGCTTTATTAAACAGGAAGGAAATTGGAAGCTATTCCAATTCATTCATTTTCCCATACAACATTCCTTTGCTGGGTGCCTCCTACTGTACTAGGGTTCGGGAGTTGAAAAGAAAATGAACTCCAGTGGAGATTTGAAAATATGAGATCAAAAGTAGCCATCACTTGGGAGCATATGAGTCTCAGAGAGGAGCCCCGTGACCCTGGAGCCTGAGCTGTAGGTATAGTGATGGAAGGAGGTGTCTGGCAGGTGGAGCTATGTGGGGAAAGTCTTGGGAGGTCCCTTCCTTTTTGTCCCTATTGTGATGCCCAAATTTAGGCCAACAGTATTTCTTACCAGAACTACTTACTGCAAGGGGCTTCTAACTGATTTCCTTGCCTCCAATTCTATCCCTTCAAATCCATCCTCCTCACAATTGCCAGAATGGTCTTTCCGAAATGCAAGTCAGACCATATCCCAATGTTGCTTAAAATCCTCTGTGGCTCCCCTCCACCTTGAGGAACACGGCCCAGCTCATCCGCAAGGCCTCCATGAGCTGGCCCTGCCTGCCTCGCCCCACACCTCATGCCCTTGCAAAGGCAGCCTCTGCATGCGCCTCCCACTCGAGCACACTGCAGGCCTCGCTTTCACTCAGCCTGTTCTTAAGATCCTGCACTTCGCTGTCAGATAGCCCTGGGATGACCTCTGGCTCTGCCACTTCCTAGCCCTATTACCAAAGAGGGAGTAATACGGTTTGTATGATTAATTTTGCCTCCTGAACCCCAGTCTGTAAAGTGGGGACAATAAAAGAATCTGCTTAGGACTGTTGTGGGAATTAAACAATGAATGTACAACACACATCATAGTGCCAAGTATATAGTAAGTGTTCAACACATTTTACCTATTCCTATAATAATAATTATTACTATTGTAATTTTTAAGACTTAGCTCAGGCATAACTTCTCCAAGAATTTTTCCCTGTTCTGCCTCCAATTGTACATGTTGTATTAGAAATTCCTCTTAAGTGATCCTGTTATCCTGGGCACAGCTCCTATCATAGGGTACTATAATTATTGCCTTGCACTCACATTATTGTTTCAGAACTGTGAACCTATGAGGGCAGGGACCATGTTGTCATGGTCATCCCCAGATCCACAGTGTCTGACATCATGCCTAGCACTGGGCAGGTGCTCTGCTGGTGAGGGTACACTCAGAGGACACTGCCCCGAGAAGACCACTGAGGCAAGAAAGAGCAGAGGTGTGCTTTCCTGTGCAGAAGGGCTGCTTCTGTAGCCACAGCCAGGAATCCAGGTGGGGAGATGGAGTTTCAGAGCATCAGGCACTCTGGTATGTCCCCAGGTGGTAGGATGGCAGAATTCATGCAAGGAGTCTGGGTGACAGGCTCATGTCCTGGGGGCAGGACGGTGAGCACAAGATTCCTGAGGCAGCATCTCCCTCTGCTCCCTCTGGGAGGGGATGTCCCTTGGTTTCATCCTGACTGGAGTCGGGAAGAGGGACAGGAAGCTGGGTAATTTCTCACAACAAAAGACACACAAAAAACCTTAGAAAATCAGCAAAGCATCATCTACTCAATTAACATTTTCTTTTAACAATTTGAAATACTGTGGAAAGGATGTATTCTTTTTTGGAAAGTTCCACATTGGTGACCCACAGAAAAAGGGTCATGACAGTTATGTATCTTGCATTATGGTTTTGTGGTTCCAGATTTTGACTCCAAAGAAGCAAACGAGTTGAGATGGCCCATAGCTTTCACAGGTGCACTGGCTTAGCCCTGACCACACGGAACAGAAGGGGCAGCATGTTGAGAAAAGAAATATGGGATCAGCAGATATTCCCCCTTCTGCTTATCAGTCACAAGATTTGTGTGCATCCTTTATGGGCAGCCTGGTTTGGGTGTCTTTTTCCATGTGACCAGTGGAAAACAAAGTCGGACAGACAGAAAGGCAGGAAGTTCTGAGAGACGCTTCATGGTTATTGTTACTAAGGAAACCAATTCTTTAGTATTCATGTGTTCAGCAGACGGCTGCACTGAATCTCTGAGGCTGAGGCGGCATCACAGAATGGCAGGAGGAAGAAGGGATGAAAAAAGCCGGACAGATAAATACAGAAGCTGTGTAAAAATATGTCGGTAATTCAGCTGTCAATTGTGGTTGAGATCATTGCCAGCATCCAATAATTTAAAGAGTGATCAGGAGCTTGTCTTCCCACTGCATTTAATCATATCCACATACTGTGCACACACTGGGAAAGAAAGCCTCTCCGGAGGGGACAAAGATCCTTGAAATCTGGTTGCATTTTGAGAAAATCAGTACTGCATGAAAAGGGCCTCTGAAATTTGTCTCTATCTGTTCTCCCTATTCCAAAAAGCCTTTCCCTTAGTTCTAAAGATAGAGACGGCAAATGTATTGTCAATGACCTCAAAGGTGACATTTTCTGTAGCAGAAAATGGAAGCATTTACCATATTTGCTGACCATCAATCCCAAGATATAAAAGAAGTCACTCTCACAGAAGTCAGAGTCCCACAAGGACACCCCTAATCCTCTAATCCACAAGGACTGACCATCCTGTGGTGATGATCAATTAATGTGTGGCAAAGGCCTTCAGAATATGAAAGAGCAAATCAGGGGATATGGAACCCTGTGTGGCCGATCACAGACTCTCTGAGTGAAAGAGAAGAGCTGAAAGGACCAGGGAAAGAAAATCCACTCCTCACCCCTTTTGCCCCCCCAATCATCAGAGCAAGACTTAATGCATTTCGGGCCGGCCCAGTGGCGCACTGGATAGTGCGCCGCTTAGGAGGCGCGGCAGCGCTGCCGCCCGAGGGTTCGGATCCCACATACGGACCGGCTCCCGCTCACTGGCTGAGCGAGGCGTGGGAGCAACACCGAGGTTTGCAATCCCGTTGCCGGTCCCTGGTCCGGTACGGGGGCAACACTGAGGGTTGCAATCCGTTGCCGGACACGGAAAAATAAGACAAAAAGACAAAAAAAAAAAAATCTATATCCGGCCTTAAATGGAATCAATGCTTACAGTCACCTTGTGCATTTTGCAGTCAAGATTGTGGCCAAATAGTGATGCTGCTAGGAGAATCTGGACAAGGGGATAGCTAAGAACTTTTTCTCTTATACAGAAATTACCCCAACTGAAACATGTCCTAAGAAAAATAGAGTGTCCTGGCCCCTTCCCTTCTGATTCGCATGGCTAAGGAAAATAATCATTGGGGATTCTGGGGCATCTCCTGGTTTGGAGATAGAGGTATCCATTGAACTAGACAGATCACCATGAACGTCCCAGTGCATGGTTACACACTGACATCCTTTCCACATGCTCAGTCAGCATTAATTGAGCACCAACTGCATTCAAAACCCTCTGCTGTTTGTGGTGAGAAGTGTAAAAGTGAGTATGATACAGCCTCAGAACTCAAAGAATCCGTAACCTGGTGGGTGGTAAACAGAAGGAAAAGTGTAAATCTGAGCAGATCACATCCTTCCTTAACATTCCTTAAAATTCTTAACATGACCTCAATTTCCCTGGCCCCCGCCCAGTCCTCCAGCTTCATCACCACGGACCCCTAACCCATTCCACTCCCAACACTGGCGTCTTCCAAATGACCCATTCCTCCTCCTCTCAGCCTTCAGATCTCAGTTAAAAGTCACTTCCTGAAGGAAGCTTTTCCTAATTTCCCAGGTCGGGCTCCTTTGCTCTATCTTCTCATTCCTCTTTTCCCCTTTGTTGCAGTAATTGCAGTTTGATTGTATATTTATGGAACTGTTTAATACTGCGAGTCCTCAGTGCACATCATAGGTCCCAGTACAGGGCTGGCTTTTGGCAAATATTTCTTCAATAAATGGGTAAATGTACACAGTGGCATAAGTTAGAAGGTAAGAGAAAAAGGATCCTCAAGCAGAGGGCCATTAAACAGTGTGGCTGTGGGGTGGTGGTTTTTCTCCCAAATGTTTGCTGTGTACGCAGTGTCTTGCACATAGAATGCTTGCGGAATAAATGAAATGAATGAATAAGTGAATAAATGGTGAACTCGGCAAAATCACCTTCCATTCTCTTTTTTGCTTGTTTCTGTGATTATACTTTACATAAACATAAACTTTACAAAAATCCATTTTTGTGTGTATGCCATAACTTTGTGAAAGATAGTTAAAAAATAAATAATCAGCCAGTCAAAAACCCAGGATGTAGCTGAGAGACACGTCTTTTCCATTTCCAGCCAAGATAGATTCTGGTGCATATATGCCTCTTTGGTAAAACACTGGACATCTTTGATTTTCTAAAAAGGAACTTCTGTCTGCTTTGGCTGAGAATGCTGATCTGATAAGCTTATGTCTCATGTATCCTTACAGCTGGAGTTACACTTCATTCATTCATTGATTGATTCATACAACACACATTTATTGAGTATCCACCATATACCAGTTACTGAATGATGTTCTATGTGCAGGGGAAAGATAGTCAAGGCCTCTCATAGTTTACTTGGGAAATTCCACTTACAGGAAGATGATACCAGCCTAGCATGAGAGTTGGGAAACAGATGCCTTTAGCACCCAATACTTCCCCAGTAACAGAACTCATCAGACTCATCACAGACTTGCAGTGGCTACAAGCTCCCTGAGTGCAAACCACTTTCATTTTTTATTTTTATTTTATTTTATTTTTTTGTCTTTTTTCGTGGCTGGCAAGGGGATCACAACCCTTGGTGTGGTGTCGCCCGCACCGCGCTCAGCCAGTGAGCACACCAGCCATTC